AAAGTTTGAGCATTGTGTGCGCTATAATCAAGAAAAGAGAGTTTCCGCGCATTACGTATCGAGGCAAGCGTATGTAAATAACGCCAGTAATGGCTGTTGTGCTTTAGCCGCGATGCGAATGAGTCCGAACTTTTATTGTCGATTACTCCAAAATGTTAGATTTTAGCAAAATTTCATTGTTATTTTCGAATTAAGCAAGTAAATTAACATCTAAAAGGATCTATTTGGGAAATTTTAATTAGAATTGGAGAACGGGACTTACACTGCGAAATACCCATAAAAACCTCATGTGTCCTTCTGGGAACCAGTAATAAAGAGTGCGAGAGAAAAGTGATAATAACAACAAAAATTGCAATATGAACTCTGGTAAAAACAAAGAATTATAACAGCAAAAATTGCAATATGAGCTCTAGTAAAAAAATGAGGCTGGTGACATTAGGTTTATAATATCCAGGGGGGAATTAACAGGAGATAACTGATAACTGACATCCATTAAACATGACACGTGGAACTTGAACAATCTAATCCAGTGAGAGAAATAAAGGGTTCAGTTCGACATTCCAAACACTTGAAGAAGGCCGGAGCGTACAATGGCCGAAACGTTGTAATAAATATGGCGACAAAGATGAGGGCAATAGTCCGAATAATGTAAATAGTGTACATAATACCTAATCTCAGAAATATAGACAGATACTGAAAGGCCGAAACGTTGTAATAAATATGGCGACAAAGATGAGGACAATAGTCCGAATAATGTAAATAGTGTACATAATACCTAATCTCAGAAATATAGACAGATACTGAAAGGCCGAAACGTTGTAATAAATATGGCGACAAAGATGAGGGCAATAGTCCGAATAATGTAAATATTGCTCATAGAATTTCTTGCGACTTCGACATTCTATCGGCTCTTCATGGGCAAGATAAATCGATCGAATTTAATAACAACAACAACAACAACAAAACAAAACAAACCAAAACGAAAATTACAACACATATAAATTCGGCATTTAATTTCCTTCGAAGTGGACACCTTCTGAAACCGCACATTTTATCCAGCGCCTTTTTCATTGATGGAAGCATTCCTGGAACTTCTTTTTGGTATAGCCAGCAGCTGCCTCGTAACATCGTCTTGCATTTTCTCGACGTCTTGAAATCTTGTTGTTTTCAAGTGGGGTTTGATTTGGGGATTATAGTTGTTGTCGAACTTGGGAAAAGTGTTTGTTCAAAATCAGCTGCACAATCCATGGTCACTAATGGAACCTCTGTGTTGTGAGGAAACAAGCACACTGTACACAATTTCCTTCAAAGGACAGCTATAAACAAAGAAAGTGAGCAAGAACGTTGGAACTCAGTGTGTATACGTCACAGAGTTCAAGGTCAGTCTGTGCCAAGCGGCTTAACTCTGTGTGTTTTACCTCCGTTACCATACTAACAGTCCCCGATACATTTTTGATCAGGCCTCGTATATATATATATATATATATATATATATATATATATATATATATATATATACTCGACTCTCCAGTCGAATTCGACGTATGAGGGTCAAGCAGATCAGTTTCTAGAAACCAACAGCAGCACATGAGATTTGATTATAGTGGTGAAGGCTTCGTGCAGGACCATCCAAACTTTTTAAAGGCCCGAATATAGAGACCTGGTGCACTACGTGCCACGAGGACCCCAAACGATCCTACGCTATAAAACTCAGTCTGTCCTGCTATTTACCGGTAGGGAGAAGAGAAGGATTCACCCCCCGCACGTAAGTGAATGGTTTCGACTGTAATGCGAACTCGGCTCTCAATCCAAGACGCTAACCATTACTCCACCATTACTCCAATATATATATATATATATATATATATATATATATATATATATATATA